TTTCTTATTTTGCTACTACACATGTCCTAAATCAGATTCAATTAATATAACATACGACCGCCAAATAAATAGTAAAACATAAAATAATTTATCTAAACTGTTATAAACAATATTAGTTAACAAATAGTTAACTTTGGTTCCTCTCCATAAAAAAACTTTGTTCTTTCATATTCATATTGTACTTTAGGTTCATTTAATGAATACATCTCCCTTTCGTTAAAAAACAATTTTTAATTGTTATAAACAATAATAGTTAACAAATAATGAACTTTGGTTCCTCTGCACCAAAAAGAATTTTTTTCATATTTTTCATTGAAGTTTATTACAAAGAATGTTTGTGTCAAAATAAAACAATAAACATTTTAATGTAAAATATATATTAATTGCATTTATTTTATTTTAATTAATTTTTTTATTTAAATTTTCAAAAACACAAAGAAAGAAAAAAACATTTAATACAAATTTATATAAATTAAATTGTTTATAGTTATTGATCAAACTATTTCATACGTTCACTATTATTTAACAAAAAATTTTTGGTGCAGAGGAACCAAAGTTCATTATTTGTTAACTATTATTGTTTATAACAATTAAAAATTGTTTTTTAACGAAAGGGAGATGTATTCATTAAATGAACCTAGAGTACAATATGAATATGAAAGAACAAAGTTTTTTTATGGAGAGGAACCAAAGTTAACTATTTCTTAACTAATATTGTTTATAACAGTTTAGATAAATTATTTTATGTTTTACTATTTATTTGGTGGTCGTATGTTATATTAATTGAATCTGATTCAGGACATGTGTAGTAGCAAAATAAGAAAATAATCTTTCATTTTTAAAGGAAACTACACAATTAATTTGTTAACTTTTTGTTTTTAAAAAAAATTATAAACAATTGAAGATTTTTAGGTTTGCATGGAGAGATATCTTCAGAAATTGTTCTCCTTTTATTTAAAACAAAAAACACTCGAATGGATTAAAAATTTTAGTCTGTAGACATTTTTTGAGAAGTAAATTGTAAAAAAATTCCATTGTGAGGAGTTTCGTAGAACGCGAGCACCTTGCACGTGATTTTTGAAAATTTTGTACAACTCATTAAACGCGTCGGCCCACTCCAAAACTTTTTGGAAAATCTTCTGTATATTATAAGGTATAAATAGGTAAATCTTGCGTGGAATTGCCCATATGTTTTATTTTTATTAAGGTAGTTCTCTCACTTTTGTAAGAAATCAATTTTGATAAAATATTTTTCAAATTTTTAGTAAATTTTGCTTTTTGCAAACGATGCAAACCTTTTGTCTTGTAAAAGTTTTAGAACCCTTTTTATCGTACTGAAATTAAGATATTTGGATTCAAATCTCAATTTCGGTACGGTAAAGGATTCTAACATTTTTATCAGGCAGATAAGGCTTGCATGAAAGAACATTTACTCAAACATTGTAGAATATTTTATCAACATCGATTTATTCAAGTATAAATTAAAAGAAATATCTTTAATATAATAATAATTAAAATATTTCTAGTAATGATTATTCAATGTGCTATATAAATATAAAATAATTTCCTTTTCTTTAAATAAAAATATTTTAAAGAATGACTTAATAAATATTTGAATATAATATAATAATAATAAGCATTTCTCAAAAACTCTCGAAGTTACAATTACACGCAACATGAGATTTTGTTAAACATCACAAAAACATTTACACAAAGTACAACCCGTTGTAATTTCACAAAAGGGACATTCTTCTTTTTGAATATTTAAATCTAAAGTATTTTAATCGGATAAAAATCTAATTTTATGTAAATAATAGATTTAATGGAATTTAACATTCCTTTAAGTTTCACAATTTGAAGTGAAAAACCTAAGAATAAAACACGGTATTTCTTAATAAATTCCTTTTCTTGGACAAACAGTTTATTGACCCTTTTGAGGAATAGTCAGAAAATATGAAAAGTAAATTGCTCAATATAAGGAGTGGTGCATCTAAGTCACTGAACTCGGATCGCGCCACTGCCTAAATCTGCAAGCTTGCAGAATTGGCTTGGCAACAGTCAAGTGCAATAAACTTAACATACGATTTCCCCACTAAATCGTCTTTCAATAAAATTGATTGACACTGGGAAATCTGGGCAGTTTAAGCCAGGCCGTTGTAGCCGGCAGTTAGCCCGGGCAGTTTGGGCCCGCAGTTTAGTCCAGGCCGTTGTAGCCTGTAGTTGTAGCCGGCATTTTTAGGCCAGGCAAGCCTAAGTCCGGCTATTGGCCGTGTTTGTATAAAAAGGATCTCAGAAGTTTAAAGAAATTAATAAGAAGTTTGTTAAGAAAATTGAATTTAATTGAGAAAAATATAAATAAATAAAAATAAAAAAAGGTTGAATTGAAAAATATATATTTGAAATATAAAGAATAAAATAAAGTGATATAATTAAAAAGATAAAAGAAATAAAAGAAAATATTGAAAATAAAATAAATGAAATTGAATATAAAAATTTATAAAGAATAAACATAAAGGAATTTGTGAGAGAAATATGAAAGAAATTAAAGTGATCAAAGTAAAGTAAAAAAGACTCTTATATCAAAAAGGAAAAAAAGTAAAGCTATTAAAGTATAAATAATATTAATTTCAAATATATATTAAAAGACAACCTTTATTTACGAGGTTCAGATCTTAAACTTTGTGCAACTTAAAAAGAATATTAAAGTTCCCAGCAAAATATCAATCTAGTGAACCTAGATTTGGTATTTCCTGAATTTTTCGGAAGAACATCGTGAAGCGGGTATAAAGACAAAACACATTCATTGGATTCGTATTACCAAGGAAGAATCACCGAGTAGTGAGTAAAGATCTTACGTGTCACAACACACACTAATACTCCATTCACACAGATACACTTACTCGTCTTACACATAAAATTAGATTTATCTGTAATAGGGATTTTTGGCAAAATATATGGGGCATTCCACGCCAAGTCGGACACCTTTTGACTTTTGCATCTCCGATTTTTTTCAAATATTTTTTTTCTTTTAGTGCTCGTTAAAATGAGCTACCATGATTTTTTTCAAATTATTTCATCAAGCGGTTTAAGAGATACAGGTTTTTGAAAAATCACGTTTTTTACGTAAATTTTTTTCTGAAATGCTTATAACTCGGACAAAAATTGATCAATTTTGACGTTCGATATATGAAAATTTTTGTTTTTACACGTAGTTTTTGATAAAAATATTAAAAAAAATTTTTTTTTAAATTTACAAAAAAAATTTTAAATTTTAAAAATAAAATTTAATTTTTAAGAATGTATGTATCGATCGATTTTTTTCAAAATTTTTTGTGAGAAACTGGTACTAAATTAAGAATTTTTAAGCATAGTCTGATGATGGGCAAACGATGGGATCTATTTGTTTCTGATTTTTCAATTTTTATATTTATAGCTAAAAGTATGAAAAATGAATGAATTATCGTAAGAATGCGATAGAGAAGGACAGACAAAGCTCCTGTCCTCTTCTATCTCATTGTTTTGTTATAAGTTCACGTCTTAAGATTTCATTGTGCGTTGGCCTTTTTCTATTTTACGCGCTGCGTTCATCCGCTACATCTCAAACCTTTAAAATATTTAAACGGTCACGAAATTAAATGTTTTTATACATATGAATATGCTTTCTCAAAATTACAATAAAGTAATTAATATCCTGAACGTCTTGTAATTCATTTTTCATACTTTTAGCTATAAATATAAAAATTGAAAAATCAGAAACAAATAGATCCCATCGTTTGCCCATCATCAGACTAGGCTTAAAAATTCTTAATTTAGTACCAGTTTCTTACAAAAAATTTTGAAAAAAATCGATCGATACATACATTCTTAAAAATTAAATTTTATTTTTAAAATTTAAAATTTTTTTGGTAAATTTAAAAAAAAATTTTTTTAATATTTTTATCAAAAACTACGTGTAAAAACAAAAATTTTCATATATCGAACGTCAAAATTGATCAATTTTTGTCCGAGTTATAAGCATTTCAGAAAAAAATTTACGTAAAAAACGTGATTTTTCAAAAACCTGTGTCTCTTAAACCGCTTAATGAAAAAATTTGAAAAAAATCATGGTAGCTCATTTCAACGAGCACTAAAAGAAAAAAAATATTTAAAAAAAATCGGAGATGCAAAAGTCAAAAGGTGTCCGACTTGGCGTGGAATGCCCCATATATAGATAGATAGTATGATAATTTTCCATAATTTTAGATTTTTTGCCAAAGAATGGAGACTATTAAATAAGTAAAATAATTTTGAAGAGCACAAAAATAATAAAGCTAAATGCCATAAAAAGAAGGGAAAATGTTGAATTTAAAGAAATTCGGTTTTTTGAATGTTTGCTAATTTTCCATAATTTTAGATTTTTTACCAAACATTGAAGATTTTTAAATAAGTAAATTATTTTTGAAGAGCACAAAAATAATTAAGCTTAATGATATAAAAGCGAAGCAAAAAATTTTAAATTTTAAGAAATTGGGTTTTTCGAATTTTTGATAATTTTTTATTTTTTGCTAAAAGGTGGAGACTATTCAAATAGTAATATTATACTACCGAAATAGCTATTGGTAACTAATTATTAATTTTCCGGTCAAATTAAATTTTCGGCTTTTTCTGATTTTCCAGATTGGTAGAAACATTGTTAAATGTATTGGTAGAAACTAAAACCCGTCGAAGACGGGTACGACAGCTAGTTTGTACTAAATTCACATGAATTTTTGTTAGAGAACTGGTATTAAATGCATATAAAAACGAAAACAAAATTCGACATGAAATTCAAGTGAGATTTATACGTAACTTGACTACACGGAATAAAATTTATTCTTAATGATTATAATATTCTATATTACAGTTAGGTCTTAGGATGTATGACCACTTTTTGTAATGATTACTATGGCTATTGTAATGAGTACAAACATACATAGTAATTACATATACTTAATTTAAAATAGTAATATAAGAACGCAGAGTTTTTTTTGTTTTCATGTAAATTTTATTTACATATAAACATTTCTTTTATTTAAAAATTTACATTTTTTTCTCCCAAAAGTTTCCTCGCCCTTTTATCTGATTCTGAAAAAAATAATTTTCTATATTAGACTCTAAGAAAATGTAATAAAACAAAAAGGCAATTCTAACGACGAAAAGCTTAATAAAAGCTTAGTATAGTCTTTAGATAAGACGTATTTTATAGCAAGGCTTATAAAAAACATTAGCAATTTTTACTGAGAAATGACTAAGTGAAATTTGTTCTTATTTAATATATAAGTTAGTTTTACCAAAACAGACTATGTCAAAAAATTTCAGGCACGTAGGTTTATTATTTAGAAAGAAAAACTAAAAAAAACTGTTTATCGCGTACAAAACAAAAAATTTCGTGGAAATATAATTAAGTTTTTTTTTAATAGAAAGTTTTAAAAATTAGTAAACTTGTGATTTATTTCGCTTAGGGTGTCAACTTCAATATTCCGATGTGATAAAGAATTTTAAATCTTACATAAATTTATAATGAACAATTGTTTTGTGAATGTCATATGTATACAGTGAGTGCGGCATCATTGAACCACCCAAATTTACAGCGTATTTTCAATTTTAAGAATGGTAAAGTTGTCTGCTCTACTAACTAGTAAGAAAAATACTGGAAGACATGCTTTCATCATAATTGTCAACGTGATAAAGTTAAACTGTCACTGTTGTTACCTAACCTGACATCGAAATATATTAATCTCCTGTATTAACAAAAAATAACTATTTAACATAAATTTACTATTTTTTTGAGTGGAAAATAAGATTTTTTATAATGTGTAAGTGGGAATATTATTCTCTAAGTAAGTTATAGTGTTTTATTAGAGGTGGTTCAACGTAGACACAGATCCCTCAAAATAAGAAAAGTGTAACTGGTTAGAAAAAAATAATTTAATTATTTAATCATAATAATTTGTGTTTGTAACGTGTGTATTAACTAAAGGAGTACTTTAGTTTTATTTTGATACAAAAACCTGATCAAAGTTTCTAAAATTTAATTAGTTCTTGGACTTTGTAAAAAACCCGGTTCAATGTAGCCTACCCTCCCCTAACGAATAATACTAATAAAACTATACTAAATTTGTGCAAAATATTGTGTAAACTTTATAACAATATATATATGGGGCATTCCAGGCCAAATCGGAAATTATTTTGCTTTCGCATCACAAATTTTTTTTAAACATTTTTTTCTTTTAGTACTCTTTGATATGAGCTACCTTGATTTTTTTCAAATTTTTTCATAAAGCGGTTCAGGAGATACTAATTTTTGAAAATTACGTTTTTTACGTAATTTTTTTTTTAAATGCTTATAACTCGGTCAAAAATTGATCAAATTGGACGTTTTGATAATGAAAAGTTTTGTTTTCACGCGAAGTTTTCAATAAAAATATTTTAAAATAATTTACGATAAGTTTTAAAAATTTTTTAAATAAAATTTCATTTTTAACAACGTATGTATCAATCAATTTTTTTCAAAATTTTTTTTAAGAAACTAGCACTAAATTAACAATTTTTAAGCCTTGTCCGATCGTGGGCAAACGATGGGATCTATTTATTTAAAATTTTTAATTTTTATATACACAGTGGTGACCAAATGACTAACTTGCCATTTGACAAAATCACACAAATTTTTTACAGCAAATGTGTTTTCAGACTAAGTCTCTCCAAACATAACCTTCTTTCTGTGTAAAATTGTGATTTGGTCAAATGACAAGTTAGGCCTACCTTTTTCACTGTGTATATAAAAATTAAAAAAATTTAAATAAATAGATCCCATCCTTTGCCCATGATCGGACAAGGCTTAAAAATTGTTAATTCAGTGCTAGTTTCTTACAAAAAATTTTGAAAAAAATTAATTGAATCATACATTGTTAAAAATGAAATTTTATTTTAAAAATTTTAAAATCTTATCGTAAATTATTTTAAAAAATTTTAAAAATATTTTTATTAAAAACTACGCGTAAAAACAAAACTTTTCATTATAAAAACGTCCAATTTTATCAATTTTTGATTGAGTTAGAAGCATTTAAAAAATAAATTTACATAAAAAACATCATTTTTCAAAAATCTGTATCTCCTGAACCGCTTTATGAAAAAATTTGAAAAAAATCAAGGTAGCTCATTTCAAAGAGTATTAAAAGAAAAAAAATGTTTAAAAAAAATTTGAGATTCAAAAGCAAAATAATTTCCGATTTGGCCTGGAATGCCCTATATACACAGTCAGAAAACCTACCACGTCAGTCATAAATTTCATGAGTGGGAGTGAGACAGACTTATGCGATTCCCATACTTTCCTATGACTGACTGACAGCTTTTCTTACTGTATATATGATTGTCCACGAGAAAACGCGGCTTAGCTCTAAAAAATCAATTTTGAGTTTTTATGATAATCGATAGATATTATATCATTTTTTCAAATGCAAAAATCAGAAGTTGTAAATGTAAATTACTTTCGACAATATAACTTTTTAAAGAAGTTATATTGTATGCTTCTGCTTCAATCGCTCGCCCTGTGAATTTCAGTTTAGGTGCTAAGCCGCGTTTTCTCGTGGACAGTCACATATATTAATTATATAAATATGAATGACAATATTTGTTTTAAAATATTTAATAATTTTTTTTAAAATGACTTTTCTTATCGAAATACTTTTTTGCATAATAAAAGAAAAATTTTAAAGGATATAAAAATTATTTGTCATTTAAAATAGAAGATCCTTAATTTTAATTTGAAAGATTCAGATTTAATTTTATTCTTTTCATACAATTTAGTAATTTAGTAATATTATTAAATTTTGCTAATGGGCCGTATGCCTTTGCTTAACTCATATTTTTATCTTTAAACATCTTCAAAATTTATTTATGAAAAGAAAAGTAAAAAAAATAATAATTCTATTTTGTGATAATTCAAACAAAAAAAAGGATCCCTTTCAGGTGAATAACCCTGTACAAGTAGCCTAAAAATATTTCCTTGACATATAATTTATGCATCTAAATATCATTTTTAAATTAAGGTTAATAATTGTAAAAGATATTAATTTTTTAAGTAATTAGAATTTATATGAAACTTAACAATAACTTACACTGATTGTCGGTAACCTCTTCCTTCTTTTCAGATTTCAATAATTTTGTTCTTACGTACTTTATTTCGTCTCCTATAAATGTTCCACATTTATTAATGATTATATTTTTTTCTTTATCGTCGATTTTATTTTTGTTAACGAAGTTTCGATAGCATTCTAAAATAAAGTAAAATTAAATTAATCACAAGATAATTAATTAAGATTAAAAAGATTGTTAATAATATTGTAAGGCTCAAATCGACATAAAAAGAATATATATATTAACAAAAATTTTCTTATGTTTTAACCTGTTCTATTTCTAATTGAAAAATATAATCTTAAAAATGTAAATAGTAAAATATTCCAGGGTTGCTACCGTTTTTTTTATTTTAAAGTTCACTGAATTTTTCCGGTTGTCCAAATAAAAAAATTATTTATTCCCTGACTTTCGTTAATTTAAACTGCAGGCGAAATATCGCACATTTATAGAAAACAAATTTTTAAGTACCATATTCTAAAAAATAAAAATAAATTTCCGTTCGGAATTCGTCCAGAATTAGTGTTAAATTCTAATAGGAATTCGTGTGATGGTTTGAAACAGTTTTCGTCCGAATTCCAGGAGGAAAAAAGGATACATAATACCGATGAAAATTTATGTAAAAATTCCGCTTGTATTCGAATTCATATGGAAATTTGACATTAATTCTGGACGAACTTCGAACGAACTCAAATCGAAATTAGTGAAAATTATTGTTACGCACCTGCACTGAAAGAAATATAAGTGTAGAAAATGCTAAATCTTGTGTCATATTTTAATATTGTAATGATCGAGATTTTAATTTGCCAAAAGAATAGCTCGCCGGATGGAGTCCGGGTACTTGGTTTAGTTAATTTTAGCAAATTAGTCTTTAAATCTTTATCAAAACAGTATTTTAGTTTAGGACCGTATTATACTATCATTTAGAGTAAGGTGTAGTCATTAATAAGGCATTAATTAAACCTTCGTAAGAAAGTATATTTTAGTAACAAATAAAAGAATAACAAAATATCATAAACAAAATAAATTTAGATTAACAAAATAAATCGTAGAAATACTAGTAATAAAATATCGTTCGCTAATTTATTACCGAGATTAGTGACTCATATTAGTTTACCGTTTCACTATTGAACGTCTCACTTATTAGGTATTTACCGAGTTCTACATACGTTACGTTATTATATTTTACTAACGAGCTACGCTTTACTAGATTTAATTATTCCCGAAGTTAGTCATGAATTTACTTCCCGATTTTCATATTGAACGATTACATAGGTTGTGCACTCTAGTTGGGACGATTTCACAAAATAAAACTAGGGAGAAATCGTGTCAATTAAAAGCCAGTACGCTCGCTGACCCTCTTATCCAATAGGAAAATATACCGAAATAATTAAATCTCTGTTCAAGCTTCATCTTCCCCCAAGATGTACCTTGGGTTGAAGAATCTACCTAGTGCATCAACTCTGTGGAGGTCGAGTTGTACCTCTTCACCACAAGGTTGGTTCACAATGGCGAGAAAGAGCGAGAAAGGTGTGAGAATGGAGCGACGGAGTATCAAGGGGTGTTACTACTGCACAGTTGTACCTGAGTCTCAAGTACAGCTCCCTCTAGGAAGTGGTGCAAACAAGCAGCCCCAGTTGTACCTGAGATACCGCCTGCTCGCTCCAGGTAGAGAGAAAGAATTAGTGCAAGCTAGCAGCCCCAGTTGTACCTGAGATACCGCCTGCTTGCACCAGGTAGAAAGGAAAGAGAGAAAAGAAGGAGAGAGTTGTCGTCGATCTTCCTCGGAGCAAGCCCCGAGTCAGTTCGACGGCGAACTGAGGAAATTGTCCGTGCGAGCAAAGTATATAGAAGTCTGGTCGCTATCCAGGTAAGTTTCGCGGTGGGGAGCTTGACGTTGCCGTGACGCGCGGTATGTGCGCGGTGGCTACTCTCTTCGCGACTAGCAGGCTGAACGTGCTGTAGTATATATAGATATACTGTCTGTACGAAATATAATTTCTCACACTAGATTTTAAACGCTATCGTTACAATATATTATTTTCTAATTTAGGGAAAAGTGTCTTTTTTTAAAATGCTGAACAGACTTTACCAATTTTTGTAATGTAGCTTTCTGGTTTTTAATATGAGGCATTTCATGAAATTCTCTTTCGATTTAGTGTATAATATGTTACAAATAATAAAATTTTTAAATAATAAAATTTATTAGAAAATTGCTCTCTTTGCGATTGTTTTTTGTCGGTGGAACGATTTGAAATGAAATGCCTCATATATTTATTTGTATACTAAAAACTCTCGTTATAACTAATACTACTACGCAACTGTATACGCACATCGACAAACTTCTCTGAAAGCATACCTCTCCGTTTCTTTATATATGAACTATCAAAATTGTACACCACTTGTGAAAAGCGATTTGCCTCAAATATCTTTATAACCAAAATCTCCTGAGATATGAAAAAAATTCTTAGTAAATTTGACTACTTTTTAACTACTTTTCTTATTCAATAAGTTCCCAAAGATATTTTTGAACATAAATTAATTAGTGGATATGTAGTTGAATGAAGTAGTAATACTACTGCATTAACTACTTTTTTTAGTTACATAGAAACCAATGACAGTTTTGCAGTAAAATAAACTGCTTATTTGTAGTTAAAGTTACTAAGATAACTCAATAGTAAAGACAACTACTCAAAATAGTAAAATAAAATTATTTATTATAAATATTATTGAGTTTCATTTTTTATATTTTCACCTACTAACTTTTGTTTATATATATATATATATATATATATATATATATATATCTTACATATTTAATTTCTATATACCTAACAGAGAAAAATCTCTAAACGCCGGGAATTGAACACTCGATCCTAAAATTCGTAAACCGATCACCTAACCACGCTCGCGCCCGCTACGATGATTTCCACTTCACTCTACATTTAAACTGTCATTGGAGCCTATCGAACTACTTTAAGTAGTAGAATTAGACTGAAAAAAAGTAGTTCCTTTTATTACTTTTTACTCTACTAAGGGGATATAGTTGAAAATGTCTCATGAATTTTTTCAGTGTATACAAGTCAACTTCGATTAAATTCGGAAGTGATCGGGGAAGTCCTCCATACTTTTCGTATAAAGTTAACGAATATTCCAAAGAAAAATACAACTCTTAGTAATTTCTATAAGAGAAGATGAAAATAACTGTAATAATTTTTGGCATTTTGTACACTTTCATATTCCAATACTCAATTTTTAAAATAAATATAATAATTTTTATCCTTCAAATATTGTACAATGATAAATTCATAATACTACATTTTCTTAAATACTGATATAATAATTCAAATATTGACACATTTTCCCTAAATTGATACATTTTATTTTAAATGTTCATATGAACATATCAAATAGGGGAGAGTGGGGCAAAATGGGGTACCCCTGTTGTTCCAAGATAGGTACTTTTAATTTTTTTATCCTCTATATATATATATAATTCATATTGATGAGAAACTGTCATTAATTATGAAGACACTACAAAAAAAACTTTTTTTTTAAAGTTCTACAACTTTAAAGTTTTAAGCAAAAAAATATGAATATTTATCAAAATTAAAGTGCTTACAAAACTTTTTGGGATAATGCATTTAATTTGGCAAGTGTAAGATCTTTTTCAGCACTTATTCTGGAGAAATTTCCAATAGGATAGATTGTTCAATTATTTACAATAACTTGGAAACATTACATTCTGTTTTAATATGCAGTGTGGGGAATAATGGGTTAACTAAGTGTGGGGTATATCAGATGCTACGCCGTTTCATTCAACTATCTATTACTGTTTAAAAACAATATATTATGTATGTTTACAAATTCCCCTCAGAAGAATCGATATTTTTATTTTGAGTCATTTATACTATCAATGTTTCATTATCGACCCTGATAAAAATTTCGGACTAATTCCGGATTAAATATGGACAGATAAGTATGCAATAGCCCGAAAATTGTAGGAAAAAGGTCCGAAAATGATCCGCGCTAGTCTAATATCAATCCGAACGAAAACCTGAATCCGAAAACACTCCGATGTAATCCTGAATGTCTACGAATTCATTCCGTAATAAGTCCGCAACAATCCGAATTTTTTTTTAGAATCCGGATTTAATCCAACTAAAAGGTATAATCCGAAACAAATACGAGATAATTCGAAATCTGTACACAAAGAATCCAACATTAGTCCGCTTCAATTCGGAATTAGTGTGGTAAAATCATATTCCGAAACAAATGCCAAACAATCCGAAATATGTATGCTAAGAATCCGGTAATATATGGCCACCCGAATCATATTATATCCCTGGTAAAAATTTCGGACTAATCCGGATTAAATCCGGGTATATTAGTGTGGATTAGTCCGATAATTGTACAAAAATGATCCGCGTTAATCTAACATCAATCCGAGTAAAATTGTGAATCCTAAATCAGTCTGGAGTAATCTTAGATGCCTATGAATTAAGTCCGAAAATAAGTCTTATAATAATATGAAATTTGTAAATATACCTATACAATCCACAGACGGTCTGAAACAATCCATATTCATTCCAATTGAAAGACTTAATCCGGAATGATTTTGGTATAATATTGAATTTGAATATTAAAAACAATTTGTATTAAATGCAGATAAATTCAAACTATAATTATAATTTCGTATGACAAAAACCTGATCAAAACCAGATTAATTCCGGATTTAATAATTTCACATTTGCAAGCTACGTATTATCGGAATAGCTTAGAACTAGATCCGACTAATTCCGGATTCACTGGTTATACACAAACCGCATTGAGTTTGAAATTTGAATTGATCCTGACAAATTATAAGCTACAAAAACCTGTCCATAAGCAAACTGTTTCGGATTAGCTGCGGATTCACTGGTTAAACCAACCGGATTACTTCTGCATTTACTAGTTGCATATGATCTGACTAACTGCAGACTAAACCGGACTAATAACGGATTCAATAGTTATAAAAAATGGTATTGATTTTAAACTTAATTCATGGTGAAAAAACTCCACAATAAACCGTACTGCTGCGGACAAATTTCGGATTATTCCGAAATCAGTCCCACTTTTTATTCAGGGTACTTACTTATGG